TGTGTTAACTGTGTGTGTGTCTGTCTGTGTGTGTCTGTCTGTGTTAACTGTGTGTGTGTCTGTGTTAACTTTGTGTGTGTGTCTGTGTTAACTGTGTGTGTCTGTGTGTGTTAACTGTGTGTGTGTGTGTGTGTGTGTCTGTCTGTGTTAACTGTGTGTGTGTGTGTTAACTGTGTGTGTGTGTGTTAACTGTGTGTGTGTGTGTGTGTTAACTGTGTGTGTGTCTGTCTGTGTGTGTCTGTCTGTGTTAACTGTGTGTGTGTGTGTGTGTTAACTGTGTGTGTGTGTGTGTGTTAACTGTGTGTGTGTGTGTGTGTTAACTGTGTGTGTGTGTGTGTGTTAACTGTGTGTCTGTGTCTGTGTTAACTGTGTGTGTGTGTGTTAACTGTGTGTGTGTGTCTGTGTTAACTGTGTGTGTGTGTGTTAACTGTGTGTGTCTGTCTATGTTAACTGTGTGTGTGTGTGTGTCTGTCTGTGTGTGTGTCTGGTCGTGCTGGTTTTCTAACAGTTTTAATGAAGACGTCTCGTCCGTTAAAGTGAAACTGAATCTGCTGTTTCCAGTTTGTCTTTCAGAACCGACACTGATAACGTCACAGAACACGAGTCAGGTCTCCAAGGACCCTTCACTGACCCCTCATCCCACCTCACCTGAAACCAGCCTGTGGTGAAGTTCCCTTAAACAAAGAAACCTTAAATTAAAGACGCACTTGATGATGTAGATCAAACATCCACAGACTCCTCCCACGACAACTCATCTAAAAGTACCTGAAACAAACTGACGCTCCATCCACGGGACAAATCAACTCTGCTGCAGATTCGTCTGACGTCCACGCCACTCCAGAGTTTACTGTTATCTATAGAAGTCAAGAGGCTGCAGTTTATTCTGAACTACAGAAACTGAGATGTCGTAGCTTTCTCTGATTCGTCAGGCTCCTGTCACATGACCTCCTTCAGGAGCAAAATATTATCACCTGAAACCACGTTCAGAGAAACGGAGCCTGTTTCTGGCTTCAGTCCATAAACTGTAGATACAGACGACACAGATCCTCCTGATGTGAAGCCAAAACATCTCAGATACAAACGCTGCCATCTTGTGGTGATGCCGTCATTTACAGTCTGTGCAGCAGCGATCGTGAACTGGGGCTGTGGTATTGAGGTCCCGCCCACACACACTCGGCCAATCGGGAGTCAGTCTCAGTTGTCAATCATGACATCTCAACCAGATTTTATATAAATCAAAACTCATGTCCCATCTGCTAACATAGAGGCGATCGATGACCTGTACAGCAGCCAGCCACCAGGGGGCTATCCAGATGATTTGGCTTCACATTAGGGAGCTGTCATGTGGTGGTGGTAGCCACATTGCCAATGCTAACGCTAGCAGCCAGAAACAAAAATGTATGATTCACTGACATTTTGATGAAGCAAAGCGTGAAATCCTAATCGTGTCCTCCTGAGACCAGAGAGAAGAGGTTCCGAGGCCCCTCAAGGAACCTGGAGCTCATGCAAAGTCCTGAAATCCCTAAAATATCTCTTTCCTCAGGAATTCTAAAACTCCCACAAACATCCAGAGAAACCTGAAGATTCTCTGAAGCCTCCATCGTTCTACACCCGATCTTTGCTGCAGCTTCTCTCCAGCATCAGTGGAAAGTTTGTGTTGCCTCAGGCTCAGTGTTGACAGGATCGTCACTGAGGAGACAGACGAAGACGACGAGTCTGAACAGGTCGACTGTGCAGATGAAGGAGGACGAATCTACAATCAGTAGAAAACTGTTAGAGAATCCTCTGGTTTCTTCCTGTTTTTATGTCCTCGGGGGGGGAGGACTCCTGCTCAACCTTCACTACACCTGCTCCCACAGTCTGTAAACACAGCAGATCATCATGTGGATTTATTATGGAGACATCAGACCCTCCACTGATCTTCTCCAGTGATCCCTAAACCTCTGCAGGACCACCTGAAGGGACATGAACCCTAAACCACAGTCCGGACTCTTTAAAGCTGCATCCTCACAACTAGGTTTTCTTTTTTAACTCATCTTCTCTGCTACAGATTCGTCTGACGTCCACATGACATCCAGAGTTTTAGATCAGTTAAAACAGAGAAGTTAATAAAGGTCCCGTTTTATTTTGAAACCCTCGGGTCAGAGTTTTACTCACGATGCTGTAGCCTTCTCTGATTCGTCAGGCTCCTGTCACATGACCTCCTCAGCTCCCAGAGTAGAACACAACATGGATGAACTATCTACTAATTCCACCAACCTGTCTGTGTCTGAGGCCGTTCTTCTTATCGACTTCACACTTGTGTGTTCTTTGTGGGCCAGGGAACCATGATGTCATTTTAGGTGTCATTTGCACACGTGATACTTCCTGGTCAGAAAATAATAAGACCTGAAACCAAGTTCAGAGAAAAGTGACACAGAGAAGTGACAGAGAAGCTTTAAATCTATAATAGAAGTACTCAGAGCTTATACTTCAGTAACAGTATCAGTACCACAGAGTAGAAATATTCTTAAGTATCATAATATTCTTAGAATTTCAACTGATTAATCTTTTATAGTATTTCATACACTATACATTAATAAAACTCTTAATTTCAGGTAACATTGCAGCAGCCCTTTGACTTATAACGAGTATTCTAACATTTACTCTTTGTGAGCACTTCTTTATCTGCTCTTGATCTATGTTCAGACTCTGTGCTGCCCCCCTGTGGTCAGAATCAGAGCAGAGCGTGAGTGTGGGTCTGTGCTGCCCTCGTGTGGCTGAAATACCAAACAGCAGCGGTGTCTGGATGATCTCAATCAAACTTAATAAAACAAGTCAATGATCTTTCTGAAGCTCCGCCCAGTTGCTCATGACTCATCTGTCAAAACATCCATATCGTTCCGCTCCGGGTCAGTAACTACGTACATTTACTCAAGAGAATGTGTTTTACTTCATTACATTTAATAACACAAAATATAATCAGTCTCTTCCAGTTCTACTAATCAACATTTTATCTTCCACCAAATTAACCAACCAACTACCCCCCCAACTGACAACACGCCCACGTCAGACGTCAACAAACCAATCAGAGTCAAGTACAGGTAGACGACGCCCACGTAGGTGATGACGACAGGACGTACAGTATGTCACAGAATTCTTTAGTCCCTGAATTAAAATGTGAAATTTAAACCAACAGATCAAATGAAACATGAAGAAACATGAAGCTTCAGACTCATGTTAAACACACAAACGATCAAAATACTGAAAATCATGTTTTCATCTGAAAGAAACAGGAAACACTTTTTAAGTTTTGAGCAGCTGATGTGGTAAAAAAAAATCTATTCACACGTGATTTCAGTTCAGATTCACTCATTTAATTAAAAAGGTGAATTTCTAACTTGTAACAAATATTAATGAGAAGCCTCGGATGAAACAGTCGTTTATTTTAATACATCAAACTTCAGTTCAATCAGATCTGACGTCTCAAGAGTAAAAGTTAAATCAGTCACAGAAAAAGTAAAACTATCAAAGTAAATGAACAGATTTCTTACGATGAAATATAAAGTGAGGACAAACCTCCGTCCGTCTGCTCAAAACTTTATTTACATTCATGTTATTTCACGGTTTCTGGAAAAAATTAATGAAATTTGTTCATTTATCAAACAAAACAACAAAAACTTTATTTACACATGAAAAACTCATTCTCCAACATGTGGTTAGCCTAGCTTAGCACACACACTTGAGGCAGAGGGAAACAGTTAGCCTAGCTCATCAGAGGGAGGCGGAGCTTCTCACGAGAAATGAGAGGATTTCCAAAAAGCAGTGGTGACCTCAGAGCTGCTTCCTGATTGGCTCAGGCATCTCAGAGCGGTTTGGGCAGAGCGGACACCTCGTCCGCACACTCGTCATAGGCTTCCTGATAATCCTGATGAGGTTTGATCAGGATTACACAGGTCGGCCGCTTGGATCCTGCCGACGAACCCAGATCCTGAACAGAGAAGAAAACGAGTCAGAGACAAACATTCAATAGACACAGACGTGTTCTACGTGTTCTACATATTCTTACAGACGTGTTCTACATATTCTTACAAACATGTTCTACGTATTCTTACAAACATGTTCTTACAAACATGTTCTACATATTCTTACAGACGTGTTCTACGTATTCTTACAAACATGTTCTACATATTCTTACAGACGTGTTCTACGTATTCTTACAAACATGTTCTACATATTCTCACAGACGTGTTCTACATATTCTTACAAACATGTTCTACGTATTCTTACAGACGTGTTCTACGTATTCTTACAAACATATTCTTACAAACATGTTCTACATATTCTCACAGACGTGTTCTACATATTCTTACAAACATGTTCTACGTATTCTTACAGCCGTGTTCTACATATTCTTACA